TAGTACTCCTCACCTAAGGAGACCTCCTGAAACACACCCTGGAGGGGTGGGCAACTTGATGGGTAGAAAGCTCCTTGGATGATGGGGCTCAGAGGGCACCTGCCAAAACTACAGCTCTCCCCCCAGGGGCAGCTGGTGACAGGGTGAGCGTTCAGCCTTACATGGAGTCAACCACCAGGTTTGGGCCTTGTTCCCAAGCAACCTGGCTCCCAGAAGCCCCAGTCCCAGGGCACTTGGGGGGCTGCTACCCACAGCCTGGGCCTTGATCAGAACGACTGGGACCCCCCAGGAGCCATGCCAGGGACGGCGCCTTCTGGTTGTCCCATCTTCCCTCTTCACTCAGGGCCTCCTCCCGAGCTTCTTTTCCTCCCATCACTGGCATGCTTGAGTCCATTGGGTGGCCACCTCCATCTGAGGTCGCAACAGGTCCAGGGCTGAGCATCTGCCTGCCCATGGGAAGTGGTCAATGAATACCTTGCTTTGCTTTGCTTGTGTGCGTGGCTTTTGCTTTCCCTATTAAACTGTCTTTATCTCAACCCACAAGTTTTCTCTACTTCTACTCCTCTGATTCTCTCCCCTGTCCCATGGTGGGGGGAGTCAATGAGCAGCTGCGTGGTGCTGAGTTGCCAGCCGGGTTAAACCATGACACACCCACACTCGCCTTCACTGACCCTTCCAGGACCATTCCCTTGGCCATGCTTGTGTTGGGTAGCATCAAGGCCCTGAGGGCACTAGTAGGGCTTGTGGTGGTGCCCGTCCGGTCTTGGCCCAGGTGTAAAGAGGCGGACGTTTGGGTAGCACTGTCCATACCTGAAACTCCTACATGGCTGAGGCAGGGAGCGAGAACAGGGACAATCAGTTATCCCCTGAGAGCCTTGAAACACACCCTTTCAGAATCATAGCCCAACTGGCACGGTACCATCGGTACTGGAATTCCAGTGATTCCCGACACGGATTGTGGCGCAGACTGGAAATTTACTGACGACTAAAGGCAATCATCGCACAATCCTATAAAAGAGGGGTCCTAAGGGAGGCCCTTTGAGCTCTCCGGGACCACAGCAGACTGCGATCAGCATCTCCTTCCGAGTGTGATGTGTCTCGGAGCCAGCAAACTCTTCAGTTTTCTAAAATCAGAGGTCCATTTCCAAAGACGGACACTGGAGCCTGGGCTGAAACCCTTCAGTCCTGGAGGCTCAACCCTTGCCTGTTGAGAAACGCCAAGACCTTTGATGTGAGCACTGCACTGAACTGTGGACCAATCCTGGGAGTAAGATCGGACCTGGCCCCACCGAGACTCCTCTCTGAAAAAGAGTTTGGAAAGCAAGGGGGTCTGCTTGTATCCTGGTGGCTCAGTGTGAGGGTCCCCCTCTTCCCCTGCACCCCCAGTCTCCCTGTGAATTTTTCCAACACAAGTGTCCTAAATCCAAGTGTGTAATGGGGGTCCCAGTGCCAAGTACTGGGGGATACCAGAGCCAGCTACTGGAGTGAATGGGGGACCTAGTGGCAGCTACTGGTTGATTCTGGTGCCAGCTACTGTGTTGTGTGGGTTCCCAGTATCAGTTACTATTGTGAATGGGTTTTCCAGTACTAGGTAGTGGAGTGAATGGGGATCCCAGTGCCAGCTACTGGAGTGAATGGGGGACCAAGTTCCAGCTCCTGAGAGATCCCAGTGCCAGCTACTAGAGTGAATGGGGATGCCAGTGCCAGGTACTGCAGTAAATTGTGGTCCCAGGGACAGCTACTGGGGTGACTGGGGTCTCACTGCAGGTCCTGCTCCAGACTGGGGTCTTGGCCACCAGTCATTGGGGTGGGACCAGTGTGTGTGTGGCAAACAGCAGCTGCTGGGAAGGAGTGGTGTGAGTGAGGGGCTCAGTGCCCGTGCCCGGAGCAGCCTGGGCTGCCAGGCGGCAAATGTCTGTGCCTTCCTCAGCCCTTCCTCATGAGCAAACGTCAAGCTGGAAACAGGCAGCGAGGAGGGGTTGTCCTTGGGTGCAGGCTGGGGTGTCAAGGGGGGACCCAGAAAGTGTGGGGTGCCTGTGGGATGAGCGCGTGCGTGCTGGGGGTTGGCAGAGAGCCTTGCACTGGCCCTGGGGACCCATGGTGTTGTCAGGGGGGCTGGGATCCGGGAATGGGAGGGCACGCTTTTGTGTGGGGAAATGGGGAGAGGGCATCTGGATGAGAGAGCCGGGGGGACGAGGGGTGGGGTGTACCCAAAGGTAATTTGGGCAGGGGGAGATGGCGACCACTGACCCCCCAACCGCCGACTCCATACACCCACTGTCTCCAAAGAGGCCCAGGCAGAGCAGGCGTGCGATTGAGCACGGGAGGCAGGGAAGGTGCCCGTACGCCAGGGAGAAGCAGAGAATGTCAACGAAGCTGGTGAGGGGTCTGGAGCCCAGGGCTGCTGGGGATCAGCTGGAGGCCCTGGGGATGTTCAGCCTGGAGAAGAGGCAGCTGAGGGGAGACCTTATTGCCCTCCACAACTACCAGAAAAGAGGTTACAGTGAGGTGGGTGTTGTTCTCTTCTCCCAGGGAACAAGCAATAGGAAATAGCCTCAACTTGTGTGAGGGGAGGTTTAGATTGGATCTTAGGGAAAAATTCTTTCATGAAAGGGTTATTGGGCACTGGAAAGGGCTGCCCAAAGAGATGTTGGAGTCCCCATCCCCGTGGTTTTTTAAAGACAAGTATACATGGAGGTGAGGGAGAGGGTTTAATAGTGCAATGGCAGGATTGGGTTAACGGTTGGTCGTGGTACTAAACTGGACCGATTCCATGGTTCTATGATTCTACTCTATGGCAAGCATCTTGCAGGTAGGGCTTTCCAAGTTCCAGAGCAGTATACGGGGGGACACTGCAATCCTCTAATGCTTTGCTACAACAGGACTGAAAATATTATTTTCAAAAAGGGAGCTAACACAATCATGAAATCGAAAATTCGTTTGATCCAGGGAATGGCCTTCTCCAAAAAGTTGCGATTTTCAGAGCGTTCATTGAAGAACGGGTTTTCCTCCTGTGAAGACAGACATGTTGGTAGCAAGGGCACGGTGCATGTGGGGAGAGGGGCCCAGAGCCAAGTAGCAATGGAAGGCACCCAGCTGGGACCCCTTTGCCACTCCTGCCTGCCAGCCACACCTTGGCACCTGTGCTCTCCCCCTTGGTACCTGGGATTTATGGTTCTTGTGCTCCTCTTGCTGCCTCTCCCAGCAGTCCTCCAGCTTCCTTCTCAGCCAAAGCACCTGCTCGTCTCTGCTGCGTAACTGGTCCTGCAGCTTCTCCCTCTCTTCAGCCTCCTTCCTCCACTGCACCTCCCTCTCCTGCTCGGCTCTCTCGTACTGCTCTTGCTTACCTGGTGGCAGAACAACAGGGGTGTTGCAAGGGCAGGAGCTGGGCGCACAAGCCCCCGAGGGCGACTGCTGTCCCCCTCCCTCCCGCTTGGCCCTCGACAGCCAGTGCCATTTCTCCAGCCCACAAGGTACTTTTCAGCTCCCTCTCCTTCTCCGTCAGCGAGCGGTCTGTGTTGAGGATGCTTTTGGCCAACAGGACCCCGCGCGGGACAGCACCAGCCTGTAGGACCACAGGTAAAAGAGGAGTCAGGAGGAGAAAGAGCAGCTGGGGAGAACTGCTTTCTTGGGGGAAGGGGAATGGGATGTGGAGCCTCCTTGTCCTCAAAGGGGACCTGCTCTCCTTCCTACCTTCACCCCCTTGCCAGGCAGTTCCCGGTATTTCTCCACCACTGCCTGCTCATCTTCTCTGAATATGTCATAACCCCTGGGCACGGTGTAGATGCCATCACGGATTTGCCTCTCCATGTCTTGGGAGAGGTCCCTGAGAGCAGCCTTGCACTTGTCCCAGGACGCCTGCTCGTTGTCCCTGAAGAACTTCTCCTTGACTGCCTCTACCTGGTGCTGTTGGGGAAGATGCAGAGGGAAGGCATCAGCCCAGGTGGAGCTGCATCCACCGCTCTCAGGCCAGGCAAAACTCAAGGCAGCTTGACACAGACACGGGGCTCTCCAGGCTGGGGGGTACCCAGCTGGGAGGTGACAGATGGGGAGGGCATTCTGTGCCCAC